GCCCTCGCCACTGGAGCGCAGGGATTGATTCATGTATTGTAAACCAGTGATGATCAATCTGTGAAATGAGGGGGGATTGTGATTACAGCTATTCAAGCAGTCCTGTAACTTTCAAGTAGCTCTTAACTAGCAAGATAACTGTAAGTTACAGAGGCTATTCTACATTTTGGGTCAGTCTGTACTCCTAACTTTGAAAGCAAGTTAAATCAATACTGCTGGTGCAGCTGTAAACTCGCCAAACTCCTATCTTTGAGAAGTGGTTTTCAACTTTGCCGCATGATTAAATCTAGACACCTAAAAAGCTGTAAAGATAGAGACTTCCATGTAGTGTAAGTCTACTAACAACACTTTCAGGTCGTGGTGGTTTTGATGAACTTCTTAAGAGTTAGGTCACAGCCCAGTGTTCTGTCTACCACAAGCTGAAAACACTGCCAAGAGGAATACTTACTACAGAAATAAGTTAAATACATGCTTGTGTAATTTTCCATGAATTTAGCTATTCGGGTTTTGTTTGGTTGTTTTTTGTCTCAGGTTGTAAGGGAAGACATCTTTACATAAGACAGTAGATGTTTGGAAGGAGAATACACGTTGACACAATTCAGTAGTTATGGCAAAGGATAAGAAGAAAGATGGCAAGAAGGCAGAAAAATCTTCACGCCCTTCTATTCCTTCACAAGAAATTACAGCTGAGAGTAGTGCTACAAAGCTGACAAGTGTGCTGACCTTGGTGAATGAAGAAGAAACAGGAGCAAGTCCAGTGATACAGGATAAGGAACCAGAGGAGGCAGAGGAACCGCCAGTCCCAGATGTTCCTCAATACTACGAGGAGCCTATTCTTACTCAACTTATTGTAAAAAGGTATACTTGTTACACATACATTACTGCAGTCAGGAATTCTAATTTAAGTATCTCTTGTGTACCTAGTGTCATACAAACACAGATTTAACTTTTAATTTGAGGCAGTGAATAGGGTTGTTCAGAGCTAATAACCGTGATACCTTATGAGTGATACATGTGGAATTCTGCTGCCTTCTTGCATCCTCAAGTGTTGCTGGTGCTCTCTACCTGCCAAAAGCTTCATTCTTTTAGCTTGTTCTCCTATGGTGAAGTTTTGTCTAAGTATGCAGATTGTGTGGAAAATGTAGCTATGTCATGTAAAGTTCAGTTGTTACTGCATTTAAATGTTTAGGGCTGCTCATATCTCTTAAGAATATCCTAAACTGAGGAAGCAGGTGAATAGCAGTGTTAGCCAAATCCTTTGGTAGTTCAAGGGGAATATATGTAATGTTTCACATGACCAGGTTGCCTAGTTGTAAGCTAGTAAATCATAGAATGGTTAAGGTTGGAAGGGACCTTAAAGCTCATCTAGTTCCAACCCCCTTGCTCTGGGCGGGGATACCTCACTCTGGACTATGTTGCCCAAGGCTTTGTTCAACCTGGCCTTGAACACTGCCAGGGATGGAGCATTTACCACTTCTCTGGGTGCCTCACCACCCTCACAGCAAAGAACTTCTTCTGTATATCTAACCTGAACTTCCCCTATTTAAATTTGAACCCATTGCTCCTTGTCTTATCGCTGCAGTCCCTGATGAAGAGTCACTCTCCAGTATCCTTGTAGGCCCCCTTCAGATACTGGAAGGCTTCTATGAGGTCTCCACGCAGCTTCTCTTCTCCAGGCTGAACAGGCACAATGTTCTCAGCCTGTCTTTCGTACGGGAAGTGCTCCAGCCCTCTTATCATCCTCATGGCCTTCCTCTGGACTTGCTCCAACAGCTTCACGTCCTTACATGCTTCCTTTTTAAATCTAGCCATGTGTCTTGTTTTCTTAATTGAAAGAAATATGGGTTTGAGGCAACACAACAATTATGTGAAATACTACAAGAAAGGTGCAAAGATTTTTAAATTTTGTTGTAGTTTGTTTCTCTACACAAGAGGCAGCAGCTGGCTTGTGTGTAAACCATGGTAAAGCAAAGGTGACTTGTTTTATATAAGTTGTCATTTATGTCTACTGGCAGTAACAGGAAACCTTCATCTTTAGTTTGTTTTTCTTGTAGCTATGAAGGTGAAAAAGTCCATGGATTATATGAAGGTAAAGGATTTGCATGTTTTGAGGGAGGAAATACATACAAGGTAAGTGTATAAAATAATAAAATAGTAGTGGATTAAATTCTTTCTCTAGAACAGGCAGTCTGCTTCTGTTAATGTAGGTGGAAGTTGAGCACTCAGAATGTGTAAGCATTAAAAGCTCTTCATTTGAAATGAGTAGTTGGAGGATGACATTAATATATAATTCTTTTGAAGTCTTACAGTCACTGTAGGCTTTGGTTGTGGTCAGAATAAATTTGCAAACAATGCTGTTCTCTTTATTTTGAAGGGCATGTTTTCTGAAGGCCTTATGCATGGACAAGGGACTTACACGTGGGCTGATGGAGTGACGTATGAGGTAAAGTGCACTTCCATTTATAACAGAACACAATTACAGCCAATTAGAGGTGTAAATTCAAGGAAAGTAGGTAAGTTGCAGTAATTGGTACAGTGCAGCTGCCTACTGCAGAACTATGGCAGTGGTTTCAGTCACAGGCCTGACTTCTCCCAGACAGTTGGTCATGTTTTTTTAAATGTTGTAATTTAATTTTTTAGGGAACATTTGTTAAGAATGTGCCGATGTTTAATGGCCATTATACGTGGAATGATGGCAGCATTTATGAAGGATCAATTAAGGATGGAGTTAGGCATGGATTTGGATTTTTCAGGAGCGGTACTCGTCCTATTTCTTACATTGGCTATTGGTGTAAAGGCAAAAGACATGGAAAGGTAAGAAAGAACACCACATGAGAGCATGGTCTTCTCATCTGCTGTCCACATACCTTTTGGAATAGCAAGTGTTCTTGTGCAGACGTTTTGCAAAAATGTTTCATGCTGTTGCATGGCCTTACACTTTGTAGAGATTTCTTTTTTCTGAGGATCTTCTCTGGAGTTGTGAGTGCCAATTAAAACAATTGGGGTGTGATCTTTTTGTGCTAGAAGGGATGAACGGTATCTGAAAAGAATTATTGGTTTATTATGTATTTTGTCCTTTATGCTGCTCCACAAAGATGATGAAAGTCAAAAGTGTTGGCTGCATCAGTAGCCACATAGCAATGACAGGTCAATTAGCTTCCCAGTAGTGACAAAGTAATCCCATCTCCCAGATGTGTTAAGCAGACTAAGTATGATAATTACTGCCATATCTAGTGTAAGTGACATCTAGTTCCAACTTGTTAAAGGTATGTAGTGCTTTTATCTGTCTCTGTTTTATGCATCCAAATTGAGAAACTCTTCTGGGCCTGACATCTTGAAGACCGATGCTCAGCATGTGAGGAAGATCCATTCTAATAATGAGGGGGGTTTTAACATGTCATTAATGACACATTAAAATCACAAGGGCTGCAGTGGATTATCACCAGTGCAATGGTCTGTCCAGTTTGTTCAGAGAGGAAACTGTCAGATAGAGAAAGAGCAATTAACGCTGTAGACTTATCATTGGAAGTTGAATTCTGAATGAGTCAGAAAACTGATCTCCCTCAGAGTGCCTGCTGTGATTAAGTTGCCAAAGTTAGCTTTCTGAAAGTGTCTCCAAGTACTTTGAAAAACATGGTAGAATTTGATGTAACAGGTTGGGGTTGGTTTGGTTTTTTTTTTTTTTGGGACACCTGGTCTTTTTTAAGGTCTTAATTATTCATCAAAAGAGATTGCTTTTTAATTTTATCACTTCAGTTGCTTTCACTGCAGGGTCTCAGTGTGGCTGCAAGTAAGAGCATGATTATGCGTGTCTGATGTAACTTGTATGCAGTGTTTTATTAATGTAGATGAATATTTAGGTATTTAAATTGACTATACTGTCTGTTTCAGGGTACCATTTATTATGACCAGGAACATACCTCTTGGTATTCAGGTGACTGGGTAAATGATGCCAAAGAAGGATGGGGAACGAGATGGTAAATGTCATAATACTCATTCTTCATATTTTTTATTTTGCATGTATTATCATACAGTTTCTCCTGTTGTTTAAAATGGATACAAATGCTACCATTTCATAGTAGTGTGTACCTTCTGTAGTGGAATAAATAATTTTACAAGACGCTTTATAATAATAAAATAGACCTTCTCTATAACCTACATTTTTATGTTGATGTATTTCTACTGCTCAGTCCTACAAAGGAATGTCTGAAAACAAAATGCAAAATCAGGTTTGGTAAACCACAAATCAACATTTAAAAACAAATAAATTATTTGAATAGATGGAGCTACTTTTATGAATGGATGAATTATTTGTGGAATTATACATAAAAGAATACTTTGATTATCTATGGTGAAGACTGTTTGGAAAAAAAGAACTGGTTAATATTTTTACAGTGATATATAAGTTAAAAATAGCAGGTAAACAGTGGGTACAATCAAACCTTCATATTTGTGTCACAGTGAGGCAACTTTCAAATTAATGCTTGTATTTAGCTTTAATAAATTCTGAATTCATTACCAGTGAGGTTTTGTATAAACCTTGCTTTCGTAAGATCCACTTAGAATTTAGTATGAGTGAGTCATTAACTTTTATTATTTTCTTGCAGCTATAAGTCTGGAAATATCTATGAAGGTCAGTGGGAGAAAAACATACGTCATGGAAAAGGAAGAATGAGATGGTTGACAGCTAATCAAGAGTATATGGGACAGTGGGTGCATGGCATCCAGGTAGTAATTTTTTCCCCAGAAACCTCTTTAGTTCAGCATCTGTCCATTGCTCTAGTGAAACTAGAGAAGGGAGTTTTGTGCAATATCAAAGGAGCTTTATATGATTTTTGCCAGTTGAGATAGTGTAAGTGTGCTCTTTATCTTAAGTTGACGCTCATAAGAAGTCTGCAGTATTCAGATTGTTAAGGGGCTGTTGACTTAGTCTTACGAAATAATAATTTAATGGAAAATATGAACCTTTTTCTTTAAAAGTAAAAGAAGTCAAAGTTAAGTGTGACTATACTCAGCTTGAGATATGACTTCAGCAGTGAGTATATGTAGCAATTTACGTTTGTGTCACCTGTGAAATATTAGACCATGCTGTTAAGGTTTCATGATGGAAGAAGATGATTTCTGGCATTTTCTGTTCCTTCCATTTATTATTCTGTTGGAAAAAGAGTGTGAGCTATTTCCTCTGTCTTTTCACCCTGCACAAAATTATTAAGGAGGAGTCCAGCTTCTTGAACATCATGGCTCTGCCTGGCATGGTGTTCCTCACCTGCCTGTTCAGCCTTACAGCCAAAAGGATTCAGGCAGGAAGGATGTCTTTAGGAGTCTTGTTCGTAGAGCTTGCTCAAGTATGTGTTGATTTAGTGTATCCTCTGAGCACTTCTCCCATGCACCTTTGTAGAATATAGTTCTGAGGATGGCTTGAAGTACTGCAGCTGTCAGCTGGGTGCTTTTATTTGAGAGATTTGCCAACTATGACTTAAAGGTGGTTCTCTTTTTTCGAAGTCTGGACTTGTAGCAGTAGTAGCTTCTCTGGGGATGTTTGGTTTTTCTTAAACACACAAATTGTTTTTCAGCATGGGTATGGCATCCACATCTGGTTTTTGAAGAGAATGCCTGCGTCTCAGTATCCTTTAAGGAATGAATACATAGGTGATTTTGTAAATGGGAAACGACATGGACACGGGAAGTTCATATATGCCAGTGGAGCAGTGTATGATGGTGAATGGGTTTGTAACAAGAAGCATGGCAAGGTAAGTATTCACAAACAGTAAGACAAACTACAGACAACACCAGAGGAGTCAATTCTGCTCTGTATGGTAGATCTCCAGATCTCTGTACAGAAAACTACATTCATTATGCATGGAATGTTTCATTATGGACGGAATCCCAGCATCATGGGCTGAGTCTGCTGAAAGCAGTAGGAGTCCTTCTAAGAACCTTGCTGGGCCACAGATTTGACTCTGTGGTTAGATGCATGTTGTGTGTATAAAGAAATATATTTTGCTGTGAAGATTTTGAATGTAGTAGGTATGTCTGGATTTTTGCAGTGGTTGACTTTTCAAAACCAAACAGATATATAGGCAATTTTTCATTCCAGCAGGGTACTTCAATTAACAGATGACAAAGTACTTTATAAAAAACGGGGAGGAAAAATTATTTTGCTTTATTTTATCTCATGTATTACACTGTAGCCAAGATTCTTAAAAGGAACTTTGATTAAGAGCGTAAGTCTTAATTTTGTTAATTTCAATATAAATCAAAGATCATAATCTCTCTATAGGGCAAGTTTGTCTTCAAGAATGGTCGTGTTTATGAAGGAGAGTTCATAGATGATAACATGGTGGAATATCCTGCTTTTCTAGTGAATGCAATGAATGTGAAAGGGCTGAATTCCATTTGCACAGAAAGTCATTTTGACACTGGTAAGCAGCTTAAGAAAACAAATTCTACTCAGTTGACATTTTGTTTTTACTATAATGTGAAGCTGTTCATACTTACTCAAGAGCCAGACATATTTCTTCAAAGAACTTTATTAAACATGGGAGTTATAGAATCATAGAATAGTTAGGGTTGGAAAGGACCTTAAGATCATCTAGTTCCAACCCCCCTGCCATGGGCAGGGACACCACACACTAAACTATGTCACCCAAGGCTCTGTCCAGCCTGGCCTTAAACGCCTCCAGGGTTGGAGCATTCACAACTTCCTTGGGCAACTATTCCAGTGCCTCACCATCCTCACTGTGAAGAACTTCTTCCTTATATCTAACCTGAAGTTCCCCTGTTTAAGTTTAAACTCATTACCCCTTGTCCTACCACTAGATGACTTTTGCTCCCATACTTCTTGTTTCCTGCACATGACACTGTGAGTTGATTGACACATCCACACTACATCTTGTAATGCTTTTTGAACACTCTTGTCTGAAAGTTTCATAACTTACATAAATTCTGCATTTCCTTTCGGCTAGGGGTTGGATTTGACAAAATTACTCTTCAGTTATTTATGCTGTTGATTATGAAATCTCTACACCTCACTGTAAAGGAGTCTGTTGTTCTTAGTTTGAAGTCACTAAGATAAGAAGAATTAACATATGTTTCATTTTCCCCCTCTCTCTGTGTATATATGTATATTTAACTTCATTTTAGTTTATTCTAATTTATTTTATTTGCATGGTAGAAAACACCACAATCATCAGTGGCTCAGAAGATACTTCTATTCTGGAATTCAGTACTGAGTTGGATATATCTTTACTGCTTGACTTGTTGCCAAAGGAAGAGAGATGGGAAGAACTGAAACAAGTAAGACTTTATTGTTTGATATCTTCAGTTTTCCTCCGTGGTGTATTTCATGTTATTTCTGGTTTATTTTATTAAAGTAACTCATTTCATTAAGGAATTATTTGAAAATCTGAAGGCCATGAAAACAGAAGACCAAAACGAATGAATAGACAGTATTGCCTCTTCCTGAGCTTTCTTCGGAATACAGTAAAAAAAAAAAAATGTTATATCTGGAAGGGCATTCGACAGCTACCTTTAGCTACTGTGAGGTTTGTCTGCTGACAGACTAATTTATTTTTATTGATCATCAAAAAAAATATAACTGCATTTGAGTAACGCCATCATGAATGCTTAATCAGGGATATCCTCTTTGAAGTTACAAGATGAAAAGAATTATATGCCCAGTTATAGGATCAATATGAACTGATTCCTACTTGCTTTGAGACGATGCTGAAAACATATCCTGCTTTATTTAGGTAGAATTTGCTGTGTTGAGGCATATTACGGAACTGAGAAGAATTTACACCTTCTACAGTAGCTTAGGCTGTGATCATTCTTTTGACAACACCTTCCTTATGACGAAGCTCCAATTTTGGAGATTTCTGAAGGACTGCCAGTTTCATCACTCCAACATAAGTCTTGCTGAAATGGATCGGATATTGAGCGGTTTGTATTTCTGTTGTTTGGGGTCTAAAATCTAGGAACTGTAAGAGTAAACTGTGGAGAGGTGGAGTGGCAAGTTGTACTCACAGCTCAACGCCGGTAGTTAGGTGTCCCTGAGTGAGTACCTCTGTGCCTGTGACTTCTCAATGGATGCATTAACACTTACTGGGTGGGAAAATGTAAAATTAAAATAGCACTTAAAAATTTGTTCTAAAGAGCCATCTATTCAAAATTTGTATTCACCCCTAGTCTTGCCTTTACTATTACATGTAATTTCAAGAGGTCTGAGAAAGAGAAGAAACAAATCTTTCAGTGCTTTTAACTTTGGTTTGCATGTAGTGTGGGGTTTTTTATTTCCATAGAGCCAGTTAAACAATCAGTTCCCTTTTAGACCAGCAGCAGAAGCACTGTGGTGTCCCTACTATGTATGTAAATGGTTTAACTCCAACTTTGCTTCCCCTTTCATTCCTATATGCTGAGTGGATGTGTTTCTAGAAAGAGAGAATTTAATAGAATTCAGCTGTAGGTGGATGGTTCTCCCTTGAACTGCTTGTTTGGAAGTGATGCTGTGTCTGGTCTGATTCTTCCAGCAGTGTTGTTTCTGTGTGATAGGTAGAGATGGAGAAGCATTTTAATGTACATGATAGCAATATAGATTTATTTATTCAAATTTTTTAGGTGAGAAAACACCAGTTGAGGAGATACATTGTCCACATGAGACTTTACTGTTCAGAACGTTTTTATCATACCTTATTCGCCTAGCATTTCATATCTATCGTGAAGAACACAAGTAAGTTTTTCATCTTAGAGTGAAGTTGATTTCAGTGTAATGGGTTTGAGTCTTCCCAGACAAGAGTATTTTTGTTTCAACTGTAGAGAGAACAGTCCTTATCTGAGTAAGTGTTTCTTACAAATGATGTCCAGGAACGTTATTCCCTCTGCCTGTTATGTCCAAGGTAAGTAACAGTATTTCTTCTGTGCAGAAGTCATCAGTTAGTACCACACACGTCATAGTTTTACTGTAACCATTTATTTTTTCCCAATTTTTAAAGGTATCTTATTTTCTGAAGAAAGATGTACAGTTTTGGTCATGAACAGCTACATTGGCAAGTGCTGGGAAATATACAGAGCCTTTTGTAGGCCAAGTACCAGACCTCCATTTGAGCTCACGATGAAAATGAGGCACTTCCTTTGGATGTTGAATGTAATAACCTCTATTTCTTTATTTTGTGTGATTACAAAAGCTTTATTTGTTCAGTTTATATGAGTGTTTTAAAATACTCCCTGTGACTTCTGCTCAGTGGAAAAGGTAGGAGTGATATGTTATTTGTAGAAACTGTGCACCAAATATTAATGGGACAGTTATTCTACAGAAATGATTTATGTACTTGTGCAGGACTGAATTCTGACTTTGTACTGATAATTTCAAATAACCAAATCTTAAAACACATTTGTCTAAGCGAATAAAAATATTTTTGCTTCCTTCCCCCCCACCCTGTAAAGTGAATATATGGAAATGTCTTACTGGTAGAACTCAGACTGGCACCTTCTGAAATAACACAGTAAACCATTTTAATAATGCGTTAATTTAATATACTGCAAGATGAAGATGAGATTCTTTACTAACATTCAGTAATTCAGGGACAGATCAAGATTACACTGAAGCTAGGGAACAGTTCCCATTGATAGGCCTGGGTTTTGATCACTGTCACTGTGACCAAAATCCAAGCCTTTTTTCATGGAAAAAGTAAATGAGTAAAAATATCAGATGGGAAGATAGTGAAAGCTCATAAATAAAAATTAGAAAAATTAGAAGTTCTTTCTTAACACTGTTTTTGTAGTCTAGGAAGAATTTCCATTGACTTCAGTAAGGCCAGAACTTAACTTTGTCATTGATTACCTACATGGGAGTATCATAGAATAGTTTGGGTTGGAAGGGACCTTCAAAGCTCATCTAGTCCAACCTCCGTGCAATAGGCAGGGATATCTTCAACTAGGTCAGGTTGCTCAGAGCCACATCTAGCCTGGCCTTGAACATCTCCAGGGATGGCACATCCACCACCTCTCAGGACAGCCTGTGCTGGTGTTTTACCACCCTCACTGTAAAAATCTTTTCCTCATGTCCAGCCTGAATATTCTTTCTTTTAGTTTAAAACCATCACCCCTCATCCTGTCACAGCAGGCCTTGCTAAAATGTCTCTCTTTGTCTTCATTTAAGAACTGAAACCTAACCCTAACCCGTCCCTTTTTAAGAACTGAAAGGCTGCCTAGAGGTCTCCCTGGAGCCTTCTCTTCTCCAGGCTGGATAACCCTAACTCTCTCAGCCTTTCCTCCTAGAAGAGGTGGTCCAGCCCTCTGATCATGTGAAACCACTAGAAACTTTGACACAGGATTTAAAGGGAGTTAGATTAGATCCATGTGGGAATGCCTTGAGTGCTGCTAACATGTAATGCTTACTCTTACCCAGGATTTTAAACTTCTCAGCAAACAATTAACTCCTTCAAGACTTGTGGAAATACTTGTCAAAGGTGGTCCCTCTGTGCCTGGTAGCAGTAATACCAACCTGGAGCTGGAGGTGTGTATGGATGAAAAGTATCATACTTCATAGCTACAGGAACAATTAAAATTACTTTTAAAAACTGTTGCAATTACTGTTCTGTCTGCTAGGCAGGAGGAAATTAATTTAGTAAGAAAATAGAGTGCAAACTTGAGCCTCTGTTTCTGTCTTCCTTTTTTCTGCCTATACCTTCAAGCTTAGCTCATGAACTTCTGTATTTTTTCTTATTACTTTACTCTTTACTCTCAGCATTCCTGACCATAAAAATAACCCTTAAGAGTACCATAACCCAGAGGGTGAAATACCATTCCTAGGAGACTGCTGCTAGTAACAGATCCATCTGTGGCGCAGTTGCTTGACAATATGTGTATACAGTGATTACACAGGGATGAATGTCAGCACTTCCAACTGCCAAGGTTTGCACTGGAAATATTAAGATGTGTTAATAATTAAGATGTGAACACACTGATCCTGAAAATCTGGAGATCCAAGAAACCTCATGTGTTAAGTGCTGCCACCTCAGTGAGGCAGAAGACTCATGCTGCCTGACAGCTGGCCTGCTGCTGAAGGCCTTTGCCTTTAAAGAATTGGCTCTGACTTGGTGATGGTCTGTTGTAAATGGCTATATTGACTTTATTATTTTAAACAGTGTCTGATAAACTGAACGTGAGTGTAACTCTTACTGAGGGATTCATTATTATACACCCATTCCTCGGGGTTTCTGGAAGCACTGTATACAATTAAACATTTTAGGTCATAATTAATAATTTGTTAGGGAAATGTCTTGTAGCTCCAGATGCAGCAAAAACGTATGCAGTATTTTATTTCAATAGTGATGTGTATAAGGCATAACACAGGATTTCACTCCTGAATTTTTTGAGCTTGGGCTGTTTTCAGTTTTTCTTCAGAAGAAGGGATGTTTCACTGGATAAATGAGGCCAGCTAGGCTTCACAATCAATCACTTTTGAATTCTTTGCTTGCTCAGGTACATATTAACTGCCAGATAATGATGGGATTTTGTAAAAATGAGTGAATTAATCACTGTGTTTGTTTAACTCTAGTTAGTTTTTCTGGAGTTTGTTGAAGCAATTCTTGCCTGTGCGTTGGTGTATGTTACCAGTGATATGATTAAGGAGCAAGAAGCTCATGAGAATGAGAGCAGAAGTACCTTTAGAACAGATGTTCTCTCCAAGAAAACCACATATGTATCTGTGTTCCCAGACTATTCTCTATCCCAGGTAAAGTTGATACAGACCTGTCAAATATGTCCAATGAGAGGGTGAAGTCCAGCCCTGCAAATACTTTGTGTTTCCTGAACATAGAAACCAATTTCCTCTTTTTGCATGAACAGTCATTTGTTTGGGTCCTGCTGCCTTTCCTGCTTGCTGCTGCCTTCGATTGTAACATCAGTATAGAGAGTTTTAACACATTTGCACGTTTTCCTAGTTAACTCTAAATGCACATAAGGTACTTGCAAGTTTTCAGTGTTTGAAAGGGAATTGTCAGATTGGTTGACCGGTGGAAGATATGCCTCTTCTGCTTTAAGTCAGATGTCTAAAACTGCCCTGTAAAAATGGCACTGCAGTTGTTTTATGTATCAGGGTTCACTGTTTCCAGCATTTAAGCTATGCTCTTTTCTTTTTGCTGGACACTTGAATAAGGATTTTGTCAGTTATAAGATGCTACCTGTGCCACTGGTGCAATTTAAATGTACAGGGAGTTGGAGGCATGAATTAGAATTGTTATTATTTGGAATTATGCACAAGATGGAAGCATTTTATTAATTCAAAGATCATTCACAAACACCTAATTTCACACTCTCAGTAAACCAGTAGTGCCACTGAACACCACCGCTCCCATTCCCTGGTCGATTGTTCCAATTCTGTGGAATCTATTCCCTTGCATCACTGCAAGAATTAATGCAGCTGCATAGTGAAATGGTCCAGTTAAAAAAGTCAGATTACCAAGACCGAAAGAAAATCTTAATTTAAAATGTACTGAAGGTAAAATTCTTCTTGTGTTTCTCTTTTATTAGTGCATGTACAGTGGAACTGTATTTGGTACAGACATGAATGATGACATTTCTGAGGCACCTGAGCTTTACTCGTCGTCTTCTAACAGAAGTTTCATATCACAGGAGGAATTAAAGAAACACGAGGTATGTAAAAAGCCCAAGATGATTTTAAATTAAACACAATGTGTTCCCATGCCTGGATGCATGTATGAGCCTAGAAGTGGTGCATTGCCTGCCATTGCTAATAAAAGCATTTGCTCCCACACATGCACTCAGCTGTTTTTATTTACAGTACTGGCTGGTAAGTTCTGCGTTAACTAAAACAGGAGTGAACAAAGCTACAGTTTTATCTTGTCTCGCAAGGTGGGGAATGAGAGGCTGGGAAGTGGGCAGACAGATTTAAAAAGCACTGGGGAAGGCAATATAATTCCTAAAACAGTTTCCAGATTTTTTTTTCAGCAAACTTCTTACCTTCACTGCCTTCATAATTTTGTGCCCAGTGTATGACTGTAATGAGATTCTTGATATTCCAGGAACAAATACACTCTGTTTGAGCTCTGATTTCAGGGTAAGATAGTAGGGATTACTGTTTTGTACTGGAATAATGGAAATCAGATAGACAATTTGGAAACTTCTTAGCTTTTAGAAAATATTGCTGACACATAAAAAATAAAACTGTGTTTGACCTGAGTTTTTGGTGAGACTGAAACATAATCAGGCTGCAGAAGATGCTTGGGGTGACAGTTGGAAAGATTGCAAAGCATCGGTCTCAGATATACTCTTGAATCTTGTTCTCTTCTTTTCGCTTAGTGTTCTTCCTAGAGTATATTCTTGTAATCAGGAATAGCAATTAATTATTGTTTCCTCAGGACCAGATGTATGTAGAGCAACATGTAATAAGAGAGGGACATGTCTAAGAATAGGAGCTCTCGTTCTCTGTAGTATCTTTCACTGGCTGTGAAATAGGATAATCCTAATTCCCTGGCTGGTATCGAAGGTGAAGCGTTATGACCAATTTGCTAGTACTTGAAAGTGTGGAACATGGTTGCCATTGAAGTGTTTTGAATAGGTATAATTGCAGAATGCCTTTGGTTGTCAGAATGCTTTGTAAATAGGAATTTGCATGATTCAAAAGGACGTGTAATTTCACTTTTTAAGTTGGACACAAGCCCAGGCATTTAGTAATGGAATTTTAAACTTCTTGACAACCACAGAGACTTTCTGAAGACACAGAGCATCCTCTTCAGGAATTGCTACTGGGTGAGTACTGGAGTTATAAGCATCTCTATAAGCAGTGGTGCTAAAGGAGATTCACTCTTCCTATAACTTAAGAGATGATTAAAACAGCATCTGATCATTGAAACAACTGGATGCATTGCAGTACAAATGGTAGCTGTGTTCAGTTTGGCAATTACAACAAGGTTTATGTTTAGCTTTCCACACCTGCTATACACAGATATCTGGGCAAGTTTGAATCTCTGAACCTTTTGTGCTTTTTAATTGAAAGCTATTGCATTTTCCTTAAAAGTAACTTAAAGGCTTTTTTTAAACTAAATTCTTCCTGTTCTGTCCCACTCATTTGGGCATGGAAACAGGAGATTGCAGTTTGCACTGTCTCTTTATTCAAACCAAAATTTTCCTCAGCACAGAAGTATTTCAGGCACAGGTCTAGCTGTAAGGTCAGGTAACAATTTATATCTGTTTGTGCTGAAGATGAAACCTGATATTTAACATACAGAATTACAGACTGAGTACTTTTAATTTTCTTTCTTTGCAGTACCAGATACTACCCTTTCATTTCACACAACTCATGGAGATACCATTGTTCCATCAATAGTTCCATCATCGTTGAGCTGGGATGCAGAAGAAGAACAAAATATGTGTCCAACAAAGGAATTGACAGGTAAGGCATTCCTACTGTTTTAAGACTTAACACAAAAAATCCTTCATAGCTCTTGAATGGGGGAATTTTAATTGTATCTGCAGATTGCAGCTTGTCACAAGAGGGCAGTAAACAAACGTTAATTCTGGAGGAAAATGTTTAAAGAAGATTAAATGTAGTAATTGAGATGTTTAATAACTGACTTAAATAGTTTCCCCAATTTATAAACGTCACATATTATTTATAGGGCATCTAAAGCTGTAACTTGTATTTACTCCATGAGAAGTTCAATCTGCAAGACAGCTTTTTTTTTTTTTTTTTTTTTTTTAATGTCTTGGACAAACAGAAGCTATGACTGCTTTTATTAAACTTGCTTAGTTTAGTTAATGTAAGAATTATTATTAATGATGTGCCACCATTAGCTGGGATTAGGTTAATGAGAGGCCAACATTCGTGCAGAAGAGTAATCATAGAATAGTTAGGGTTGGAAAGGACCTTGTATGCTGAGGCTAGTAACCTTTTTATACCATCTGGCTGTTCAGCAGATCTCATCTGGGTTGTTTTTTGTGCTTATTAAAGGTTTTCTAACAGAAAACAGAACCTAAACCCTAAACCATAGATACATAAGGATCTTCGTGTAGTCGTCAGCTCTTTCACTGAAATCTGGTGACTGAAAAGTTAGTTAGAGATCTGATGGTTCCTTCAAAAACCGACTCTACTTTTTGATAGTAGTGACAATTGGATGCTTGCATCCAGTTCTGTTCCTTCAGGTAGTTGTGTTCATTCCTCCATTCCCCCATGCACAGGAGTCACAACTATTGAACTGTTGTCAGATTACTGCAGAAGACACTTATCATAGGATTAAAGGGGAAAGTTGATATTCTTTTGATGCCATCCCAGGGACAAGTCACCCTAAACACCTGCAAAAGGGCCATCCCCTTTCACATGCCTCAGTTAAAAGTTTCTCACAGTTGTCCTCTCCTGTACCATGCAGAAGCCAGACCTTCCTATTGCAGAGTATCAGAGCTGAAATACTGTAGCCCAAGCCACACTTGGAACAGAAGTGCCCTCCTAAATAAACATACTTAATTTACATGTTGCAGGTGAATCGCAAGTAGCCAGAACTGAACCAGATGAGCTTAGTCTGTTGGTGCATCAGGTGCAGATCTTCTTTACAACTAAGCTCTTTCCTGCTTACCAGCATGAGAAAGTGCTGTGGGAAAAAATGAAAGAAAATCGAATACGAGATGCTGAATTAGCTGAGCTGAGAAAGATCAAGGATGAGGAGCTGGCAAAGTGAGTTGTGTGTCTTATCTTGAAGTACTGTTATCTCTTCTACTAGCAGAATTACTGAAAATGAAAAACGTGCTTTAATAAAGCCGTATAGCATAGTCTAACTGGGAAACAACATCCACGTGCAATAAGCAACATGCAGAATGTAACTTGTGACTTCTCTTGCTGTCAGGAGTAACTAATAGAGGCTGCTTTGAGGTTACAGAACTACTCACTCTCTGTTAATTCCTGGCACTTGGGCCCTGCTCTGTGCAAAAGCAGTTTTTTCACATTCTATAAGGCAGAGTTGAAGTGGTAACTGGACATATTTTCTGTTTCTCTGCAATATAACAGCTTATACTGGTCATACTGTGAATATAGCTGTAGTTGCTTAGCCAGTATAAATCTGTCTCCCCAGTTTTGCACTGCATTGAATTTAAACTTTGTTCACTTAGAATTATTGCTGGCAGAGAAGAGGCAAAAAAGCAAGAAGCAGCTGCAGCACCAAAACCATCTGACCCCAAGAGCTCAGATTTTAAGGAGTCAGAGGAGCCTGGCGCAACATTAGCACCTGCTTTGAAGGAAGAGGCACCCAGAGCAGCATCCCCAGTTGCCAAGATGCCTGCTGGCAAAAAGAGAAGGAAGAAATAAATCATCTGATGAGACCTACTGCAGCTTGAAGTAAGTAAATACTCTTCAAATAAGTTAAAAAAACAAAACCAAAACAACAGCAGAAGAACCACACTTTTGCAGTAAGGTCTAAAATACAAGTATGATAGAACTGTATGCACAAGTTTATTGCTGCTACACCAAGAGTCTTGGGAAGGGGAATACAGTCACAGACATGAGTGTAACCCTTTGAAAACAAGTATTCCAGAAGTCAGTATTTGACTTGTACCTAAAAAGTGCCAGTAAGCTGATAAAGGAACAGGTATCTTGTCATGATCATATGGCGCAATTAAATGGTTTCTGCTTAAAATACGGTTTGACTGAAATACTGCATATGAACAAGAATGTAAGAACTTAACAAAATGTGTATCAGGCTGAAGCAGCAGCTGCAAACAACAGACCAACCTAGAAAGCTTTTGGTGCCAGGATCTTTGGTAACCAGTCTAGTTTCACATTGTAGAAAGTTAGTATGATGATGCAAATGAACACAGGAAAATAAAAAGATGCCCTTAAAAGTGTAACAATTATTAGTTTTATTTTCCAGTAAAATATTCACATAACAATAGCAGAATGGAATGGTACAGATGAATTCAGGCCAGGTTTTGTTTAGTTTGCACATAAACTTTTTTAAAATCTAAAAATTTTACGATCAGTTTACAGATTTTTAGTAGAAATTTTGATTCTTACAAAGCAAGTATTGCTTTACTATTGTCATTATTCCAGTCAATAATATGACTAATAACTTCTCATGTTGAACAAGTGTCTGACATTGACATCTTCCAATGAATCAGCCCTTTGCAGATCAATCCAAGAAGAAAATATTATTAAACTGTGTTGCACAAAGTTTCTTCACTTCTTCTGTAAAAAAGAAAAGAAGAAAGATATTTCACTATATGTTACAGGAGCCTCTGCAAGCAAAACCCTGGGGATCATCGAGGACAATATAATTAAATTCAAACAGAAGAAACTCTAGGAGTTTCCAGTGTAGAAATACACTTAATGTTACTCTATCTTCAGTAGGAGAAAATGAGTCAAATCTGATGTTTGACACTGTCTGAAAGATGAGTTGTATTCTAAATGACTAAAATGTAAATGGTAATTTGTATTTGCTGTTGGGCCATTTGTCTTAAACTTCTACACAGGAACAACAGAAGACTTGGCTTCAACACAAAGCAGTAGACTGTACCCCTTGTCAGGGAAGGAGGGATTAGGGTAGCCTGTTAAAAAAAATCAAGTCAGCAAAACTTTTGCTTTGTGCTGTTTGGCAGAAAGCACTTCCTAAGTTTATCGGGCACAGAAACTCTCAGGTTTGATCCTGAAAGACAATTAGAAATCATAGTGAAGTCATGCAACTCATTCCTCTTTTGAAAAATGAGGTTGCTAGGCTTGGAAAAGCTTTAATTCTTTCCCAAGTGAGTACATTACCTCCTGTTAAAACAGAGGTCCCTAAAACTGCTGCAAGTAAGACTCAGACTTTAAGAGAAATGGAAATTTAAAAGCTTATTGCATCTTAAATGTTAATTTGTACTCTTAGTCATAGTAAGTCATTCTCAAAGCAGCACTAGAAACAAGACAACAGTGGAATGAGGATCACTGACAGGAGAGACATTATGCATAAATAACCTACCCATGGGTCATAGACAAGTAAAACTTAACTCGGATGTTCATCTCTCACCTATAATACACTTCATTAATTACTTCTAAGCTAAGCTCACAGAGCACTCTCTCCACTATTATTTGAAGGAGGAAGAATGACTGATTAATAATTAAGAATGCCTGCTGAATATTTATACTGTTCTTTGACAGCTGTAGAAGGCAGACTAAAACCTTATGCAAACTTACCTGGTCTATCATAGATCAGTCCCTCTCTAGCTTTCTTGTGAGATGGATTTTATTACTTCTCCAGGGGCATACATTTTAGCAGTAACTGTATTTAAAGGTAATAAAAACAATCCTTACCATTAACTTCAATCAGATTTGCATTTTTTTGATTCAAAATAACATACAGTTCTCGCTGGTCAGACTTTTTCCCAACTACCCAGTAATCACTCATTGCCTTCACAATAATTTCCTCATCTTCATCAACTCTGAAAGAAATTTTACAAATTAAAGAAGGTAGCAGCAAGTTCATGTTCAACAACTTTTATTTGTAATCATTAAAACAGCTTAATGTCGTAATTTTTTGTGGTTGTGCAGTATGAATGATAGACTACCAATAGTGACTTAGACATAATTCATCAATCCAGGATGAAGGCTTCATAAATGGCTGCTTAGTACAACTGCATCCCTAGGTTAATCCATCACCCACTGTCCACCAACACTCCAGCGCTCTGGAGAAAACCCCTATCCCTCCATCCTGCTAAGGACACACTTCATAGAATTACCGTTTACTACACAGTGACCGAATAATGAAATTTGGAGCTGGTGGATGTTGTGGTAATACTACTTTTTCACATATCTAACTGCTAAACCTAGAACTAAACCATGCTCAACAACTAGATAAAGCCATCACTGACCCTGTTCTTCCACAGTATGACAGAACATTCTTTTATCGTTTACAGACAAATGAAAACCTTGTCCCCAAGTAGAGTGTGAGAACTGCCAGTACTGAGAGACATCACAATTATTCAGCATTTTCATGTTGTTATTTTTTATAGTGACAGAGGGTCTCTCCCACCATGAAGCACAATACCCATTGATAAGAAGCCAGTTATCTTCTCTGTCAGCAGTACTGTAGTAACTGCAGGGTTTGCATTTCATCTGTTGTCTAATCGCTAGAAGCAGGCGACAGTTTCAGAGAGTATCATCTAGGCAGAAGCAGGTTTCCCTGTCCTTCCTACTACTTATCCTGAGATTAGACAGGCTTAAGTGCAAAAGTGCTAGGCTTTACATTCCTTTTGAGTTTGTTATGGCTTCTCTGAAGCTTCAAATAGAGTAGATATTTTCCTGGATAGAGGCCCTGGCCCTTCCTTAAATTATTTTTCTAAAAGGACACTAAGTTTTGTTTGAGACAAACTATTTCTAAACCAACACAAAAAACCAAATATGACCCATGTTACACCCTTTATCTCACAGAGCTCTGAATAACCATCCATGAGCAATAAGACATGAAGGGTTCACCCATTTGGAAAAAAAAAAAAATCTACTTGATAGAAGCAGTTACAGACTATTAAATAGTTAAGCATTACCTGGAGAAGTCACTGTTGATGTCACCGAGAATCTTCATGAGGTCAGGGTGAACTGATGCAAGTGATACACTGGGTGTTTTCCTCATGTGAATGGTACTTTTCTCTGCCAGGTTCATGTGATTGAAATAGATAAACTTAAACTGAGGCTCCTTCTCAGCCCTAGGAAGATAAAAAACAAACAAACAAAACCAGGCTTGTGAATACATGTTCTATAAGTACAGGCTTCACAGAGAATGGGTCACAATCCAGTGCAAAGCTTACCCAGACATCCTGAGGTTACCTTCACATCGAAGAGACCCAAGTACATTAAATCTTGTGGCATGATCAAACTTCATCTTAGCACACTTTAAAAAGCAGCAAGCCTCCAAAACCAACCAGGTTTTCCCTTTCTGCTGCTTAGGCTGCTAGTAAATAGATGTGGGGGAGTCTAAAGGCCTTTTCCAACTTCCCAGGAATAATCTGCATTTTTCTAATGAGCTGTTTTTTCTCTGTCCCAGTGTTGTTTCTTTGCTGCTCTCCCCTGTACCAGTCCAATCTTGTTTCAGTGGATGCTGGGTCTTTCATTTGATTGATAAGTAATCTTCCACTCACATCTTTGTAATTTGTTACAATCAAAAGAAAGAAAAACTCCTTCATTCAGGCAATTACATTTCCCTCCATAATTTGTGTGGGCCAAGAGACTATTTTTAAACTCCTGCCTCAGCAGTTTTCCTCCATTTCCTCTTCTATTAAGTTAATATAAAAATCTGTTGTTTAGAACTGAAGTCACAACAAATTCAGGCTGGCAGAAACTGGCTATAGCAGTTGGTACTTCAGGCTATGTATTATTCAGAATCAGGAAGATAACTGTGATGACACCACTCACCTTAGCAAACAACTAGATACCCTTGCTCTTTCCTGTCACCCAGATGCATTAGTACTGTATCATGTTTTCAGGACACCATGGCATTAAACTTTAAAAGAGTTAAAGCTGCCAAAGCCAGTCCCGGATGACATTAAAAAACCTCCAACTTTAATGATTTAGTAGATTGGCACAGTTTCAGGCACATCCTATTCTATACCCTGCTATTTTGCTGATTTGGCATGCTACCACCGAGCTCTGTCATACACCTATCTTTGCTTTAATTCCTCTTATGTTGTCATATGTGATGCTGCTCTGGCTTCCCCAACTAACAAATCAATCTAAAAATAAATACAATTTTATGGAAAGTCAACTATAGCTTTAACTGAAGTATATTTTCCAAAGCATTAATATCCTTTTTTATTTGCCCCTTGCCCCTCCCCACCCCCCATAGTTACCTTATTTATTTTGTAGAACTAAGACAGCTTTTCCCTCACCTCATCACCTACCATAGATGGCAACACTTCAAGCAGCAGTAACTGTTGGAAAAAGTACTGACCTTTAAAGCTTTTACTGTAACTAAACAATCCAAAACAGCCATTTCAAAATGCTAAACAGAAGTTGTTCCAGTATATAGACCTTCACTTTCTTTTGGATTTCTAACAGAATAAGTTACACACACACCATTCAAGCTGTAAATACTTGTGTCTAAGGCAATACTCGAAGCTGGTGGTGTCAGTATCCACCTGATGCAAAAAATACAGTTCTTTTAACATTATATGAAACAGCAGCCTGGGAAACCAGAAGTCAAAGGGAATCAGCACAAAGAAGGACATGGGCAAGACAGCAATACTTTTAAATTATTATTAGTTATTTTTAACTCAAATGTCCTATTAGCCCAAGGGCTACTTGTGAACACAGTGAGATTCTGCTTTCCTCAAGAAAGGTTAGAA